CTCTTCTCCAGGAGCATACACTCTCATTATGACTCACTTTTTGCAACCGACCCTTATTGTAATCCACATAATCCTTGAATTTATACATTTATATTCCCTCTTCTCCTTCCATAACTGATCCTTCAACATTATTGCTACCTCTTCCATAGCTCCAATTCTCTCAGATAGTCCTGATTTAATCACATTTATTTCTTCCCACTTAAACTCACCTACAACCTTCAGCTTTGTTTCGCTTAGGGCCAGGACATCCAACTTCTTTTCATTCATAACATCAGCAATCATCTCTTTATCATCTGCACTACATCCACTCACATTCAAGCATCCCAGTTTTATAAAGTTTTTTTTCTTCTCGTTTTTAGTAGTTTATACAGAAGAAGGAGATACTAGCCCATTGTTCCCAGCATTTCGTCGGATCTTAGGACACACATGGCTTACGGACGAAAGATTCTTTTCCACTTCCCCATGGAGATAAGAGGAAATAAAGGAGAACAAAACAATGTTAGTTTTAAGGTGATAAAGAAAAACAGTATACACAGCTTCAAGAGTAGGTAAGATCAGGGGCAGGAGCTACGACTCAACCCCTGCAACGAAACTAGGTGAATACATTTACAAATAGTTGAGGAAGTTGATAAATATGGGGAAGAGCTAAACCCATTTGGATCATGCAGTATCTCAGGAACCTGAGGGAATCTGATTTGGTCCGTGTAAGTGGAGGCCGGTTCAGATTGCTTGGATCAAGAGCAGTCCAGCGCTAGTTAGACAGTGACTGAGGCAACAATTATATACTATCATTGTTGCGTTCAATACTATCATTAACATATCTCATGTTCAAGAATAGTATTGTCACCATTATACTCATATGGATGCTCTAAAACTGTAGGGGTTTTGCACCATCATAGTTCCCTATCAAATTTTTCGGTTTATAAACAGACAAGAAAACAGAGAAGTCCCCGGAATAACTGGAAGAAATGGAGAAGGTTTAGAGTGTTAGAGGCTTGATCATCCAGCAGGCATGTGTATGTTAGATCTGAGTGGCGACAAGAAGTTTTAGGATTTGTTATGCTATTAGATACTGGAAAACTGATTACCCGAACTAAAGTTCTGATGATCAGAGGTACAAAGCCTGCACTCATGATAATGGGTGGAGACATTAAAGTTAGGAGAGTCATTATGAAAAGTGATGTCTGCACACTTATAACAAGACAGCTTTTGAATGAGTGATTGTGGTGTTTTTCTGGAGGGAAATGGGAGTTCACCTTGTGTGGTAGGATATGACCGAAGTGAAATTATGTCTTGCTTTTATCACACCGGTAGTGTCTTGCAGAGGAGAGTGACTCAAAACTAAAGAAACACTTTCACCATCACTCATTCAATAGCTACTTATATTTGGACATATACATGCACAACTTTGATCAGATAGAAGATTGTTGAAGAATCCCAAGTGCATGGAAGTACATGAGAAAGAGAGACAGCAGAGGATTTGGTAATCCACTGAGAAGAACTATCTGCTTTTATCTGTCTATATCTATATATTATTGTGAACTTCCAAGCTCTTTCATGAATTCTCACATTATCAAGAAACTAAAATAAAAGATCACCAGAAGGCATATAAGAACGAGATTACAACTTGCGGACAACTTACAACACCCGACCCTTTACGATGGTGTAGGTAGGTGGTCAAATCCCTGTAAGACACAGCATATATATTCTACACAAGCTTGGGTAGAACATAAGCTGTGTCTGAGAGGTCAGAATAGTAAGAGAGAAAAGGTTATCATATGAGAGGTGTCTACTAAACAGAAATGATGAAGGGAGGGAGGAATATATGGAGAGAAAAAAAGAGGTTAAAGGAGTAGTAAAGGAATGCAAAAGGTGAGCAAATGAGAGAGTGGATGAGATGTTATCAAGAAATTTTGCTGAGAATAAGAAAAAGTTTGGAGTGAGATTAATAAGTTAAGATAGCCTAGGGATCGAAATTATTTGATAGTTAAAAATAGGAGAGGAGAATTATTAGATGAAGAGTTGGAAGTACATGTATTGGGAAGAGATAGAGAGAATAGTTTGAGGAACTGTTAAATGATGATGAAGATAGGAAAGCTGTGATTTCGTGCATTAGGCAGGGAGGTATAACATCTTATAGGAGTAAGGAAGAGCCAATTGCGAGCATGGGGGAGGTACATGAAGCAGTGGGTACAATGAAAAGAGGGGAGTGATGGGATGAAGACAGGAATGTTAAAAACAGGTTGGGACAGTTGTTTTGGAATGTTTGGCACTTTGCATAAAGGTAAAGATGACAAAAGAAAGTGGAAAAATTATAGGGGAATAAGCATGTTGACCATTACTTGTAAAGTGTATGGTACAGTTATTATTGAAAGAATTAAGAATAAGATAGACAGGAGGATCTCAGATGAGGTTTTAAGAAGGGTAGGAGTGTGTAGACCAAGTGTTTACAAAAAGTATTTAAGTGAACAGTATTTAGATAAGGGTATAAAAAGGTTTTCGTTGCATTTATGGATTTGAAAAAGGCCTATGATAGGATAAATAGGGGAGCAACGTGGAATATGTTGGAAATGTATGGAACATGAGACAGGTTACTGATGGTGAAGTTCAGGTTAAAGTATGTAGGAGAGAGGGAGATTATTTCCTAGTAAAAGTAGGCCTTAGACAAGGATGTGTGATGTCACATTGTTGTTCAATATATTTATAAATGGAGTTGTAAGATAAGCGAATGATCAAGTTTACCTGGAGAGGGTTTTGGGGGTCAACGCCCCCGTGGCCCGGTCTGAGACCAGGCCTCATGGTGGATTAGGGTCTGATCAACCAAGCTGTTACCGCTGGCCGCACGAAAGCTGACGTACGAACCACAGCCCGGTTGGTCAGGTACTGACTTTAGGTGCCTGTCTAGTGCCTTCTTGAAGACAACCAGGGGTCTACTGGTGATCCACCTTGGCAAAAGGTGTGGGATCAAGAGAGAAAGAATCTAAACAAAGTAGAAGTTGTCACAGTTGCTTTTTTGCTGATGACACTGAGCTCTTGAAATATTCTGAAGAGAAGTGGCAGAGGTTGGTGAACAAGATTAGAAGGGTATGTATGCTCTTATATGGGTGCTAAGCATGAGTGATGAATATTGCAACAAGGAGAAGGCTGGAGGCAGTGGAGATGTTGTGTCTAAGGGCAATGTGTGGAGTGAATATAATACAGAGATTCCATAGCTTAAAGATTAGAAGGAGGTGATGGGTTACTAAAAATATTATCCAGAGGGCAGAGGAGGGGTTATCAAGGTGGTTCACACATTTAGAGAGGACGGAACAAAACAGTGGATGGAAGGCGGGGAAGGGTCAGCCTAGGAAAGGTTGGAGGGAGGGAGTAAAGGAGGTTTTGTGTGTGAGGGGCTTTGACTTCCAGCGCACGTGAGTGTGTTAGATACTAACGCTAGGAGACGAATGGTTTTCATAACTTGATATGTTGTTTGATTGTGAGGAAGGAAACATTTATGAAGAGATTCGGGGAAACTGGTTAGCCGGACTTGAGTACTGGAGGTGGGAAGTACAGTGCCTGCACTCTGAAGGAGGGCTGTTGATATGATGCGGTTTTTAAACAGCAGTGTAGGAACGCCTGTGGCAAGACAGTGATGGAGTGAATTAACACATCAGCCATTTCCTCGGTGGGAAATGGCCGATATGTTAATTAAACAATAATAAATCTCTTTTCATGTATAATAAAAAAAACTATTTTATTTGAGTTAGTTGATAAGAGTTAGGGAATTATTTCATGACTGTAATTCCCTGTAAATGTTCTAAAGTTTTGTGGGACAATTATTGGAGGGGAAGACAATCTGTGATTTTTTATTTCTGATCATTAGTTTTCGTCTTGGATAATAAGCAGGCTTCTTTTACCTGCAATTCTAGTGGTGACAGAAGTCTTGGGGGAGACTCCCTGGTTCTCACCACACTGCTCATAATGGAAGTAATGAAGCTGAGGTTTTAACATTGAAATTAGCCAAAATTCGGAAATAAGATCTAAAGAGGATTGAATGAGTGAAACTCCATGAGGAAAAGGAGACAGCAATTCTTAGGGCAGAAGAAACAAAGAGAGATAACGTGCTTCTTAACAAAGAATAGAAAAAAGGCAGAATTATTTAATTTAGAGAAAGCATTAAATTACATCCCAATTTTTGGAGAAAGACCCCTACTAAAACTTTCTCATTATTTGAGAATATTACTTGGTCACATTAATTTATGTTCTGTGCCTGGTTATTTTTTTGCAACCTTGTCCGTGAATATGTACAGTACATGGTTGTCTGTGGTAAATGACAGTAATGATGTATTTAGAGATAAGAGTGTTTCAGTTAATGACCTTCTTTTGAACTGATGTACAATAGGTTACTTTTATGTAGTTATGTGGTAATGCAATGTACAGGAAGAGGAAAATATATTCAGTAACTTATCAGGTTATGTGGTATAAGTGTATAATGCATCAGGGCAGTGCATGGCCAGCACCGTGTAGTGAGAGTGTGTTTTCCTAGTGTTAGTGTTTCTGTAACAAGATGACTATAAAGCATCACTGTGTAGCAGTGCTGATGTACTAGAAGGTAGAGTGCTGACTCAGCAGCAGTGTTGATGTACTAGAAGGTAGAGTGCTGACTCAGTAGCAGTGTTGATGTACTAGAAGGTAGAGTGCTGACTCGGCAGCAGTGTTGATGTAACTGGTAGGTAGTGTGCTGACTCACGAGCAGTGTTGATGTACTAGAAGGTAGAATGCAGACTCGGAAGCAGTGTTGATGTAACTGGTAAGTAGTGTGCTGACTCAGCAGCAGTGTTGATGTAGCTGGAGCATAGAGTGCTGACTAACGAGCAGTGTTGATGTAACTGGAAGGTAGAGTGCTGACTCAGCAGTAGTGTTGATGTACCTAGAAGGTAGAGTGCTGACTCAGCAGCAGCTGTGATGTAACTGGAAGATAGGGAGTCGAGAAGAGTGGCGATAATTGAGGTAAGACTGACCTAACATGTGGTTGGTGAGGTGGAAGGTAGGCCAGAGATGCAGCAGCCAGCAAGGTGTCCCCAGGTAAGCGGACCAGGTCAGCAGCAGCAGCATCAGCAGCAGCCTCCCACCGTGACTGTTCTCCACCCAACCCACCTGTTGTAAACCACAAAAAAAAAAATCAATGACACTACTTCCGTCAGAGAGGCAAAACTTGCTAACAAATACGACAAATTAGTCTTACCTATTGTATTTCAATACAGTAAAAAATCTCAATAATTAAGATCTTTTGTTATTAATTGTCTCCATATAGAGAGGAAAACTTTATTTATAGACTCAAGACAAAGCTTATGAAGTCTTTATTAAATTTACGAAAATATATTTAGAATGATGCATATATTTGCTTTGTTCGAAATGCTTCACTTAACAATTGGTTTTCCTAGGAATGTGAAATGTGATGTATGTATTCTCATCCACTACATCATCCACTACATCATCCACTACATCATCCACTATTCTCATCCACTACATCATCCACTACATCATCCACT